TTTATATCTTATGTATTTAAAGGTTAATAACTCACTGTAGTTATTATATTAAAAACTATTAATAAAGATACGAGCAAAGCCTCACCTTAATAACAAAAAAAAAATTATTAAAATATTTAAATTTATTTTTTTTTAATTAATATATAAACATAAGGATTATATAATTATAATATTTAAATTTAATTTATAAGAAAAAAATTTAGGTTATATATTAGTCTAAAAGTTAGTATTTATTAATATAAATAATGATTTTTAAAGTTTTTTTGTCATAAGTCAATATCAGAAAAAAATTATTTTTATATTTTTTTTATAAAACTGAGTATCAAAACAATGTATTGTTTTTTAGAAAATTTTGATAATTTAAAAAAATTAGTTATTTATTCTTAATTAACTTGGTATTTTTTAAGTATTTTATTCTAATAAACTTTTATTATTATAGTTTTTATGATTTTGTTGTAAAAATTTAGACTTGTATTAGAAGTAAAAATTTTTTGGCTTCGGAAACATATAAATTTTATAAAGTTTGAAATAAATTTAATATTAGAATTTTTTAAAATTTAAACTTTAATGTTTAATAATTTAAAAATTACTTAATAAAATTAAAAAAAATTGGTAATAAAGTTAATAGAATATATATTATAGAATATTTTTTATGAGAATTATAGACCCTATACTATTAATAATTTTTTGAGTAATTTGACAAATTATAAATTTTTAGTCAAATTCAGGGCAAATTTGCCCCCAATACAGTTTAAAGGATAATTATGGGAGATTTCAATGCTTCCAGTGATAACTTACAATCCACATCTATTAAATATAAGTTACTCCAACATCTTCAATACAACAATATGTATAACCTAGCAGTATATACTCAATCATCAACCAATATATGGAACAACAGTAGATACTCCAGCTGTATTGATTATATATAGTTCAACCATTCAATTCTATGCTATTTAAACTTATACTATACTAATAATCCTAATACTAGTACCAAAAGTAATCATCAAATTTTAATCTCATCCTAGGTCTTTCCATATGCAATCATAAGTAAACGACGTATCTTTACCAAAACACATAGAAGAGTATTTCTTTACAAAAATATGAACACAGAGCAATGGCACCTATATGCCAACCAAGTCTTCTCCAATCTTTTATCAAACAATACACCACTTACAACTAATACTTCTAAATCACTCGAATGCACCTGGTATAAAATCCAAACCAGCATAATCTCTGCAGCTCTCCAACATATACCTAACAACAATTTACTGTATGCAACTTTCAACATATTTATTCTTCTAAAGCATCTCAGCTATATTTTCATCTCAAAAAATTAAGCAATATCATTTGTCAAGTTAAAGCATCTATTAGAAACAAAACTCCTATACCTAACAATTATAATGCTACAATCAACTCTTTCAACTCAACTCACAATCTTGATATTTCAAGTATACCAACCAGTTATGATCTTTTACCAAGCTGGATTACTAATAGCAATGATGCATAGAAAGCTCTTTATCATGCATGTAATATTGAAAACATTAAAGAAATAAGACAACAGATCAATGACTATATTACCAAGAGATGCGATAAGCTTTATATCAATTCCAAATCTATGATTAATAGTATACTCAACCAACACAAAGAACCTGTAAAATTTGATAATATTATAATAGACAATGATGTTATCACCAATACTCATAATATCAAAACCCATATACAACAACATTTCAACTAGTGAACTGGTTTCTAAAATGTTGATGAAGCTATCTTTAACTCTATATAATATAATGAATATGAAACTCAAGACTATATCAACTCAGACTGGTGCACTTCTTGAATTCTCTACTGAGGAGGTTTTATCTACCCTTGCACAATTACCTAACAATAAAGCCTGTGGTTCTTCGGGCATTATCTATAAGATGCTTAAACATGCATATTTACCTTTCTTGCAAGCAATTATATCTCTATTTGATAGATGTATTATATCTAATAAAATACCTAAACAATGGAAGGAAGGTAGAATTTTTTCAATTTCTAAAAAACCATCTTTGATGTCAACCTTACTAATACTAGACCTATAAGCTTACAAGAATACACTAAAAACTTTACGCCAAGCTTCTAACTAACAATCTCAACCATATATTCACTAAACACCTAATCATTTCTCTCTATAATTATATTGCCTTATCACAGTGTTGTTAAATGACCTAAAAATAGTCACAAATGACTTTTAAATGATCTGAAATGACCTTTTATATATAAAATTTAATAATAAATTTCAAATGACTCAAATGACCTAACAAAAGTCATTTCAAAAAGGCAAATGACCATGCAAATTTAACAACACTGACACATGGTGTGATCAATTGTGATAAATTAAAACTGAAATTATTTATATTTTTGGATCGGGTACGTTTCCTCCTGTTTTGAATCAGTACCTATCGAATCGATAAATATTCGGTCAGTCAATTTTTTGCCAGTCGTTCCAGAATTTATGAAAACAGCCGGCATTTTACATAGAATTTTGGGTGTCGCCGATTAGAGGACTGAGTCCAGTAATAAAATAATAAACTTGAGGTCTCTTATTTTTTTGCAGCCAGTCAATAAAGAGAGGTTATCCTGGTCAATAATAGTACTTTTTTCGTAAAATTAATTCCAATAATGCAAAGTAAAATAATAATACTTTTTCGTAAAATCAATTCCAATAATGCAAAGTAATATAATTTATTATAATCGAGAGAATTAATACGTAAGACAAAATCAAAAAAGTATAATAATTTTGTATTGGTCAAATTTATATCTATGTAGCCTTTTATATTTATTCCCTATTGGATTTCTATCTTTTTGCAAACAATGATAATTATTTTATTAGACTACATAAACAATTTTACATAGTGTTACTATGATTATATCTAAATATTTAATATATAACTTATGAATAATTTTAGAATATATAATTTATAATTTGCGGTAATCTATTATGAGTGCTACCAAGGGAAAAATGAGACTTCAAATTTATTATTTATTATTCATTATTTACCAGGTTCAACTCAACTTGATTAACGATATATACTATAATGATAACAACTAAATTTGATTATGTATCATGATATATGTTGGCGTCAGGCGGAGTCTGGAATCTGGTAAATAATAAATGATAAACTCACTTAAGAACTCGAAGTCACATTTCTTTTGACTGTACTACATATTTAGGTTTCAATAATACTAAATAATAATAATAATAATAATAACAAATAATAATAATACATAATAATAACAAATAATCATTCTAATAATAACAAATAATCATTCTAATAATACAAATGTTTAATAATTTTTGTCATGCAAAAAAAAAAAAATCACAAATATCGCAATATATCATAAATTTCAGCAGCAATGACTGAATTTTCCGCACGGATCATCTCTAATTTAATGTTACAAAGTTTAGTTTCATTTGCCATATACTGTCGCACAGCCAACCGTTCTCTCCGCTCATTGGTCTTAGTAAATATTATATTTGGCAATTCAAGACTTTCAAATTTGTACCTTCTACTAGTATACACAGCTTCCGGATGAATGTCATTCAAAGACGGCTTATAATTGGATAAGTTTTGATTCTCTCCAGCTTCATTGAATTGTTTGGCAATGTCTGAATCGGGAACATTTATCATGCATAACCATTCACCAAGAGTCCTATAAAGTTGTTCAGCATCAGGACGTGCTAATGGATCAAGATCCAGACAACGTTTTATGAGGCTAGTATAATATTCTGGAATTTCGGAATCGAATTCTGGGTGAATACCATCGCAGATATCAGTAGCAAGATGTAAATTATGAGCACGATTAGAAAATGGTTTTTTGCCAAATGCCAATTCCCACATTATGATTCCAAAGCTATAAATATCAGAATCTTTTGTAAACTGTTGATTTCGCAATATTTCGGGAGCCATGTAAGGTAAAACACCATATACACCATCATTAATGGGTAAATTGTCCTTAAATAGAATGGGAAGTTTTATGTCACCCAAAAGAGTCATTGATGAAGTCATAAATACGTTGCCACTATGTAAATTACGATGGATTAGATCTTTTTTGTGGAGGCGCATAAGACCTATGGCAATACTGTATAAGATGTCCAATCTTTTTTTCCAGGTTATAGATGGGAAATTTTCTTCATAGTATTTTCTCAAATCACCATCTCGTGCGTATTGGGCAACCATCATATAGTTGTTTGAGAAGGGGTCTCGTGTTATTCCATAATATCGGCATACATAAGTACCACTATTATTCTCAGAGGTTAAAAATTTAAGCCACTAAAAAAAAAAAATAAAAATAAAAATAAATATTAGTATATTTTTAATGACATCGGTAAAATAATCTGAATCTGGCACTAACTGAACAAGAAAATCGATTAAAAAAAAAAAACTAATATTAAACATATTGATGATACACATACTTCGGTAAAAAGGTCAGAACCAATGCTCAAATTATTAAAGGACCTTAATGTAACGTGCCTTTTACCGCACCTAACATATCGAGCAGTTGTGTCATCCCATTTTTCACGCGGACCATCAAGCCAAATAGCTTGATAAACATTTCCATATCCTCCTGACCCAATGAATTGAACACCTTTAAATCTATCGAAGGGTATCCACTCTAAATAGTCAAATCGACTTGGAGAAGAAAGTTGAGTTTCTAGGATGAACATATCTATGTCGTCATTGCCGCTTGACCATGAACCGAATTTCTTTTCAAAAAGTTTCGATTGACAAGCAGAACACCATTGAGTATAATATCCAGTATCGGCAATTGGACCTTCACATGTTGGACAAATTTTAGGAGAAAGTTGGGAGGATTGAGAAGATTGAGAAGATTGAGAAGAGTGAGTAGATTGAATAGATTGAGTAGATTGAGTAGATTGAGAATCATCAGATTTATCGTCAGCATCCACAATGGGTTTTTTCGAATCCTGCAATATTGAATTTGATTGATGAGAAATCTGCGAATAAGAAGCATGTTTAGAAATCTGCGAATAAGAAGCATGTTTAGAATCCACAATAGGGTTAGAATCCTTAATAGTCTTTTCATTTGCATTTTCGATAAGTTTAGCATTCTTGTTTGCATTCAAAATAGGTTTAGCATCCGAATTCGCAATAGGTTTTGTATTTGTATTCAATATAGGTTTTGCATTTGTATTCAATATAGGTTTTGCATTTGCATTTGTATTTTTAATAGGTAGTATTGGTTCAGATTGTTGATAGTAAATTTTAGGTTTGTTTTTTTTAAGGACTTCATTCGCAAATTGTTCTCTCTCCGAATACACATCATCTTTTCTGTCAGACGGAGTTTGTTTATGGTAATTCCATTCACCACCATCAGAATTATTTCGTTTATGATCATATGTAGCCAATCTTCTTGGATCAACCAAGAGTGGTGTACTCTGGTGTCTTCTCCAATTAGCTGAAGGATCAAGGTCACCAATTTTTAATGGAGGTCGAGGACTTATATACGTATTACTTTCTTTTGTTTCATGTTGTTTTGTCCACTCTACTTTATACGGTTTTCGTATATATGAATGGTCTATAGCATTCTCTTGTTTCTATCATGAAAAAAAAAAAAAAAAATTAACAGAGCTATCTATTAAATGCATATAAACTGTAGAAAGATTCATTACCTTGCTGAATAATCGTAAAACTTTATTGGGAACCATTTTTGACTATGTAAGATGAAATATTGTATGCTATTTCAAGGAAAGTGCAATTTTCAATTTTTTATAATAAGGGCCTCAGACATTTATTCAAGATTTTTTTGTTTGATCGATCTACGTTTTTCCATATTAGACCATAATTTACCGTTATATAGTAATTAGAAGAGATTCATATGTTTGTTTATGTGTAAATTTTCGTGTTCACATACGTAGCAAGATAAATTTCGGTTCATAGAATAAATGTAATTACCCGAAAATTTGGTTTGTACATGTGTACTACCACATGTACAACGATGCTACATTACATAGAAATATACGGAGACATTAGCATAACTTCTAACAGTCCAGTTTCAAATATCTCTTAATTGGGTACAAAAGATGCAATGTATTTATAAATCAACAATGTAAGTGTTTACATACAGAAACTATTGGTCAATTAATTACCGAAAAATTCAGATACAGAATTAACTTTTATGCATATCAATAAAGTCGGATGTTTCGGTGACCAGATAATTACATCTGCAATTGGTAAAAAAAGTCAAATCATTTCAAATTGAAGAATAAATACTTTCACAAAACTGTATGCATTTTAGCCATCTCACTATTATTACACTTGGCAGAAAGACATACATTACATACGTATTAATCATTTTGTTTCAATTAGCAACAACAAATAAAACATTACGTAGAAAACAGTAGCAATTGCCACAATGCTTTATTGCGTATAATACTTCAGTGGTGCTGTCTCAAAGTCTGTTTGCGCTATTTTTTGCTATCTGTACTCCCACGCAAATTTTGAAATATCTCCGGATTCATTTTTATCACAAGGTAGGCTAATTTTATTGTGGTCGCTAATGATAATACAATACAGAAAGCTACATAAAGGGTTACAGATAATAAAAATAGATGAATCATTTGCCTATTTAATGCACTAATTTAGATGTGTAACCTTAGCCTGCACGATAATGAGGGCGTAAAAATTGTGACGAGATTTAAAATAGTCTGAACTGTGGCAATATGAAAAAAAAGCTTATCAGAAATTAGTCTTGAGTTTTATTTACGCGAAATGGTTAAACTTTTTTAAACAAGTAATTTTGTAAAACTTAACATTAAAAATTTTATTATTAAAAAAAAAGTATACTAAAAATAGATTTATTCCAAAAAAAAAAACCTTAAGTACAGAAATAGTATTAAGATTAATTAGATGCACGCCAATAGTACTGCGCACAAGTTCAAAAAGGAATGATATACAGAATAACGGATTTATTGTATATCGATATTATCCTGTGTTGGTTAATTCTGTAATTCTGTAATTCTGACCGAGAGGGCAAATTTAAGTTTCAGATAAAGTTTGCCAAGCTCCTTTTCGGAAAAATGTTTACCAGAAAATCCCGTAATAACCATTCTTGGTAATACTTGGTGATTTTAAAACAAGATGTTTAATTTTGACATCAAAAATTATGCAATGATGTATACGTATAGTTTGTAAAAGAAGTTATTTACCCATAACTTATCAGTTTTACTAACCCTGATATGAAATAGAACTCTAATTATTACGTAAAAATAGATCATTTATAAAAAATAAATAAGTTTTGCTAATCGTACATATATTCGCAAATATATTCGCAAATATATTCGCAAATATATTCGTAAATATATTCGTAAATATATTCGTAAATATATTCGTAAATTTTTTAGCTTACTTCTATACAAACAGCTGTATACATTACTTACATACACAACTTTATATAATAAATATTCCTGTAATACCGATTAAAAATTGATCGATGTACGTACGCGAGTTTAAAATTTATGCCAATTAAAGTGTAATGTACATACGTGAAATTTAATGCAAAAGTATTTTGGACATTAAACATGCCTTCGAATAACAGCAGAGACCGTTAATGTTGCACATATATTAAAACTGGTGAGGGATTATATCCATCACAATTGAATTCAATATAAATAATTTAATTTGATTATTAAATCACAGGAGAGATGGAGGAGAGATGGATCGGGCACTGTCTCTGCTGTTCCTTCGAATACTTGACTAGTCTTTCATTCAAATCTTCGAAAATATTGTTGCTAATTATATAAATAACTGAAAAAATATGACATATAATGAATCATTCAAAATGCATAAAGTAAATAGAGTTCTTGAAGCTTTAAATTAATGACTTGGATTTACCTGTACTAAACCTAGTACAATATACTTGATTTAGTATGTCTTTAGAGATTAAACCCGTCAAAAAATGTGGCCCGGCGGGTTGAACCCGCGGGTTACCCGCGGGTTACCCGGGTGATTGAGGGTAGACATTTCACCCGCGTCAACCCGATAGTAATCATATTAATCTTGTATTACATGGTTTCTAAAGCTCCCTAACGTATGTGCGTATGAAAATCCTTTAGTTCCGCTATATTATCGTGCAGAATCAGGTATGGAAATTGTGAACAAAGATTTGATTCAGTGCTGTTCACCTGTGGAAATTATTGAATCAAATTGGTAGCTTCTAATGATTAATGTTATTGGACCTTTCAAAGATTTTTTGTTTACTAAATGGGAATTCTAATAAAATCTAGTAAGTAAATTCGTGCAAATCTTATAAATTTTAGAAAAACCAAAAATTATAAGGATAAAAACTATGAATACAAAAAATAATATCATTAAAAAGCTTTCGATATTCTTATTATTTATGCCGGAAAAGCACTCTTGTTTACAAAGTTTCAGGTAAATTTGATTATAACACGATGTAAGGATTAGTAAATTAAGTATTTGAACAAAATTTAAATAAAGTACTTATTTATTAATACTGTAATATTAAAATTTAATTTTCGTATAATCAGAGTCAAATTCTTCTTCTTCTTCAAAAAAAAAAGACTTCTATCGAATGAAATCATTTAATTATACGTTCATTCTGGGTGGTTCTAAGGCTGGTAAAAGTCCGATCCTATCCGTTCGCACTCCTCAAATAGGGACTTTGACCAGGACTCGATCCTTGAGTCGATCCTAGTATTCTAATTATGTATAGATCAACGTAAATTAGCCAATCAAAATGAACAATTCTCAGAACAAAAAATAAGTTGGACTTTGTCTGAAAGTCGGTCGGAATCGGTCCTAAAATGTCCCTGTTTAGTCGACTCAAGGACCGGGTCCGACAAGCTTTTTCACAGCCCTAGTTCTAGGTTGTGCCTATCTCACACAATCACAACTATCCGTATTTATACTTCCCATCCTTGAATTGTTATGCTTAACACTATGTTTCACCCGTGTATTTATTGCAATGTATACATTTGCAATAATTAGTGTATCATACTATCTTCACTGTTATTTTACTTAATTGGTTTGATTCCTAAATTTAATATAAATAACTTTATACTTACTGGCTAATTAACACAATAAAAACAAATTAAAATTAAATGTTAAGATTTGAATAACAGATAATCGTAGAATTTAATGCATAACAGATTTAGTTATTTACAAGTTAACTCACGGGTTAATCCACGGGTTAATCCACAGGTTGACCCGCAGATTGACCCGCCCGGGTAGATGCCAATGCCAGACCCACCTGCGGGTAACCCGAGTTGCGCCCACCCGGTTCCACTCTCTACTTTAAAGCTATGTATTTATTTAGTAATTTGTTAAAAAAAAAAAAACTATATAATTTAATAAAATCTTAACGGCGTAGAGTTCCAATCCGGATCAATCCATCATCTATTGTATCCGCATACTATATCCGGTGTTACGCCCAAAATTGGGAGTGCGATATCTGTGTATAGCAAATTAGCTTTGGGCGAAGCATAAATTATGCGGGTGAGTATTTTATTAGAGATGCTGTACAAACCCTGTTATTACACTCTTCCAGAGAATGATACATTATATATATTTATATCTATAAGCACAATTATATATTATGAAATAAGAGAATTGAAGGAGAAAATGATTACCGAGAATGAAGTAAATAACTTTGGCATGATAATGTAGTAATGATCTTTATAATATAAAGTAATAAAATAATACAATAATTACAAAATAAGCATATAAAAAATTTTTGCTCAACATCTTCTTCTGCTCAAAGATGAACTCTGGCAAATTGCACACATTATTATTGAAGCAACAAGGAAATTGCAAATGATTTTTAGACAGTTATGGAACTTTTTTTGTTATTTTTACATATTTATGTAATTTTTTTAAATAGTTATCTTTCTTTTTTTATTATTATTTATTGTTATAGCTGATACTAAAATTGACTAATTCTAAACTTTGGAGTCTCAATTTTAAAATATAGGCTTTGCTAAAATCTACATATACTCTTTAATTATAAATTCTAACTCTAAATTCTAACCTAATTATAAAAAAAAGTAGTAAAAAATATTCTAAAATTTTTTAAATTTTCATATCAAAATAAGTTCAAATTTTAGCATTAGCCAATTTTAGCATTATTATTTTTTCTATTACTTTTAATTGTATATTACTATAATACTTAATTTAATTTGTTTCTACATTAACAAAAAATAATTTATTTATAATGCAAACAGCTTAGTCACATCAAATATTTTATTATAAATTTATAATTGTAAAAACTTTTTATCTAAAAGTTTAATTACAAAAAAACTATATATATTTGTATAGCTTTTAATGAGATCTATTAAACTATGTATTTGGCTTTAAGCCTTTTTAAACTTTTATTAGAAAAAAATTACTTTTTAAAAAACACAACTTCAAAATTTCAGCATGAATATAAAAACAATTAAAAAATATACAGTACGGGACAGTAAAAGACATCCAATCTATACATAGAGGCACCAATTTTTGATGCTTATATAATCAATTCTGATTGGCTAATTTTGTATAATTGTTTCTGATTGGTTAAAAATATCTATATATTTTCTTTTTTTCTATATTAAACAATTTTTTGAACTTATATAAACTTTAATCTTTTATAACTTTTTCAAAACAAAGAATAAAAAAAAATCCTCTGACAGAAATGTAGTTTATCTAAAAA